TGTTAAGGTATTAAAAAAAAAAAATCTAACCATTTCAAGAAACATACATAAATGATGAATCATATCAAGTAATGTCATATTTAAAACTAACGTACCAACTTAATGTGTATTGAATATCGCGTTCGTGAAAAGAACAATTTCATTAAACGAATGGAACATTTAAATCAATATATTGTTGTGTAAAATAGTCAAATCATAGTTGGAGCAATTCGAAGAATCAAAGAAATAGCATGAAATCATGTGTAGACCTTAATTATAATGGAACGAGGGAGCCAAATTGATATTAAAATAAAGCATTTTTATTTTTATATTTTTTCATGCGCTTTGTCTTCTTCGGAAAAAACACACTATTGGAACAATATAAAAGTGGTCTAAAAGTTTTATACAATCTGGTCAATAAATTACAAATTGTGTACGTACTGTACTTTATAGGGACATTTTTAGAATTTTCCGGAAGCTGAAAAAAAACAGGGCAAAAAAAAACCCTGGTAGAATATTTATTGCACACCCGTTGTTTAAGAAAAAAAATCTTGACCATTTTCAGTCGGGTAAAAACTATGTGTAATTATTTTCATTGTAATGGATTGTATAATTGCTTTTGAATAAATAAATAAGTTAAATTACAGTTACTGAGTAATAACGGTAAATGTTTGGGAAAACGTATTGTATTTTATTGAGTGATGATATTACAAATATATGCCATCCATATTACGAGTAGTTAGCTCAGAGTTTTATAATATTTTAGTGCATATCTGGAATCAAATTTTGTTTTATTTTCATTTAATTTTAGGTTTTTTTATCCTGAGAAAACCCTCTTAAACCCAAAAATGGCTTTCTTATTGTTATCTAGTTTTTTCAATTGTTTTCCCATCTTCATTTATAAAAATTATAAGCATTTTACTCATATTTTCAGAATCAAGACTTTGAAAAGCACACACTTCAAGTTATTAGATTTCTTAAGTCATTTATAATTCGTGTATATTTGTTTTGCTCAGTATAATACACAGTGTACAATATAATGATATTACGTTATTAATCCGACAAATTTATATAAATATAAATACAATTATTAATTAATAATAAAATAATAAATATTAAAAATAAGTAAATGGATAATACTCATAAATGTTTACATAAACAAATAAACAAATAGTTTATATATAGAAATAAATAAATAAAAAATATGTTGACCTAGATCATTGTTATATTTATTAAGTACGAACGATTTTGACATAGAAATTTAACATCGGTAGAGCGTAGATTTATAAGCATTAAAAATCAACAAAATATGCACTAAAATGTTAATAAATGAAAAAAAAATATATGCACTCAATATTTAGCAAAAAAAAAAAAAAATGTTTGTTGTTTGAACATTTAATTAAAAATAATACATAATAAATACATTTAAATTGATAGAACTCTGCTAAAAACTTTTTTATCTTCTACTTTTAAGGGAATTTATTTACCAAAATAATTCTGTAAGTAGTTTTAATAAAAAAAAAAAAAAAAAGTAATCAATTAATATTAAAAATATATTGTAAAATTAATTTTCTTACCAAAATGTGAATTGTTGAAAATTATGATAAAAATTTTTGCTATATTTTTAAAAAACATTGATGGGCATTTGTCTGTCAACAAATTGTTATCTATTTTTTATCTTTTATGTCCCCATAAGCGTATTTAATAACATATTATATTATTTGGAGATAAATCTATACATGCTCATTCTCTGCTGAATTTAATTGATTCACTTTCATAATTTAAAATATTTAATATTTTAGTAAGTGATTCGTAGCCTTCGTTTTTTGATAATTTTTACTGACATTTTTAATATACAGATTTACCTATACAATTAAAATACATATTAAATAGTTGAAAATATCTAAAAAAACGAAAAAAAAAAAATCGAAATATGTACTTATATGAGTATATAAAATATGCAATTAAAATCGTAAAATAGGTCCTTAAAATAAAAACTATTGGTAAATATCGAAATATACAAATATATTCACTAAAAAAATGTAATTATTTAAATCAATATGTCAGGAAAAAATTTTGTGCTAACGTAGCACATCATAGGACCAACTAGAATATATATGCAAATGCATATAAATCTGAACTCCAATTATCAGGTACATACAAAGTCAATAAAATTGCAAATGAATTTGAAAAAATTGATTTTTGATTTTATTTTTTCATGAACAGTCGAAATGTTGTTAACTTTGTATGATGATACATTTTTAATTCGAAACCAGGCATACTTTACAAATATAATTATAATCTAGACTATGTTGTTATTTATTTATTTCTATATATAAACTATTTGTTTATTTATTTATATATTAATTGTTAAGTTTTTATTATATAAACACAAATTCTCAATCACAAACGAGAAAACTTTTTTGAGATAAATAAAAGCTTCTTGTAGTAATTTCTGGATATTGCTAAATGGCTTTGTATAATTTATTTATATATAATAGATAAATAATTGAAGCGTTATCAAGCGCTTACCAAAAAATTAGTGTTAAAAACTTGAGAAAAAGGTTGTTATATTCTTGAGAGAAATAGTGTTTTAAAAGTTGAATGAAAAGAGACCAGGACAAAAAAATAAATACATTTTTAGACGAAAGGAATCCTGTCTATTCTTCCATATGGCTAAAGAGCAATACTGTTTATTTTACAGTATTTATTTATTTTTTTTTTTTGATTTTACGATCGATTTTTTATTTTATTTATTATATTTACATAAAAATTTAAAAAAAAAATATATATAACACAATTTATATGAAGAGATACAAAATATATCAATCAAAATAACTATACTATTTTCACAAACGTTATTATAAGGTAATTAAAACTTTTCATCAAAAGTTTTGAAAATGTCTCCGAAAAAAAGAAAATAAAATAAATAAGTCAATAAATAGAAAGCCATATCATATTGGCGAAAAAATTAAAGTAGTTGTTCCGAAGAACATATCTGGTCCGCAATCCAATATTGCTAAAAACTGAAGACTTTTCAAAAGTTCATTTATTTATTTTCCAACCGGCCGAGTCATTTATTTTCTCAAATACCGTTTGACCGTTTACGGCAGTGGTTTTCAACCTTTTTAACAATATGGTACACTTCATCTCCAACAAAATTCTTGCGGCACACTAATCCATATATTATGTAAACCATATTTTATATTTATGTATACTATTTACAGTCTACTCTGTTAGAGTGTTATTTTTTGTGAAATATATTAATACAATTGATCGATCGAGACGGCTGCGACGGGCATACTTACAATAAATAATATTATAATTATCTTCGATTAGTTCGATCAGTTTTCATCTCGAATATCAATAACAAGCTGGTAAATACATACTTATAAATCGATTTATAGATTTATCGCAGCACATTTCAGGGCGCTCGCGGCACACTGGTTGGGAGCCACTGGTTTACGGGTTGAATTAGACGCCGAGAGTCTTAAGTCTTATCACCTTACTACGGAGGATGAGGTAATGATAATTTTACGGAAAATATTTACATAATTTCATCGTAATTTTCTTAGCAAATATAAAGCAATTTTCACTGGCTCCGGAGCACGAGAAAAGATACGCGTCGTATATGTATCCTAATACACCTAATTTTACATATATTATACAAATCCTTACCAAATAGTTAAAACTCATTGTTTGTGCATACTATATACATTTTAAATAATCATAACGTATATGTTCCAGTTAAGAGCTGAATTAGTAAATTAATGTAAGATTCTGATGTTGGTTCATTAAGATGTATAAGAAAAAAAACTCTTATAAGGTTAGGATACTACAATTTGAGTAAGGTTTCGGATCCAAAGTAACAACCAAATTACTAACATCTTATAATCGAAACCCAATGGAATATCCGATTCGGTCAACATATTATGTCCTTACTAGCTAATATAACTTTTTGCTGTTTCCCCATAACACAATTGTTCATTGGCTACAAAGTAAATATGTATTCTGAAAAAAACTTGTTTAAAATTGTCCGTGCATAAATTAATGGAAATAGTGCGTGAAAAAGTATTCGAAACTCTATCGGTTGAAGTTTTTCGGTAAATTTATCTACATTCTTTTCAATTCTTCGGGAAACTTTTGAGATATTTAAAAAAAAAAAAAATTACCTTCACGCCCTATTCTTATTGAGTGCGTTGATCCTGCCGATCGAAATTGTGTACACAGACCGAAAATAAAAATAAAAAAACACATCGCGGTAAAACCAACGGATTCCTCAAAATCCAATAGTATTGCATTGGTTTTTTCGACGAGACTCCGGTCGGAAATGCGTTTGCACGCGTGTATACCGTAGTACGTGTGCGATGGGATCGAGGCCGGACGTATTATTGTAATGTCGGGTTAATCGGAACGAAATTATACGACGAAGACAATGGACACGGGAACGAAACGTAATTTATGCCCGTGGCGAAATATCACGCGAGCCCGTTAGTGGACGGTAATTGTCGCTTTCAAACAACAATTATTCGCGAACATTCGGTCGTTCTACGAGAGATTATTAATTTTTTTTTCTGTCCGCGCCCGAAACACACAACCGTGGTAACAACAATGGACGACACATCGTCATGGGATATACATGTATTAAATAATCTGTAGATACACGAGCGTAAATGTAACATTATACGTTGTAACATTGTTTTTTTTTTTTATATTTTTCGCAGTCGACGCGAAAATAATTTTTGTATTTTACTTTACGCACGGACCGTTACAACAGGCGTTGGGACGAAATGGGATTATGTTCGGAGGCGGTGATGAAAATAAAATAAAATAGAATAAATAAATAAATAAATAAATAATAAAATAAATGGTATACCGGTATACATTTTATTCGTACTGGAAGACGAGTCGTAGAGTCCGTTATCGGTGCGCGCATTAAAATGTAAATTTATTTAATCTACGACGCATTGTATTATTATTTATTTGAACGGCAGTTTCAGTGAAATCGTTCGTACGGGTGTGTATGTTTTCGTCACGTTCGACAAACGACTTTGTGAGGAACGTTTCGGACAAGTTAACCGCAATGTAGTGTTCAATCGAACAGTTCTGGCGTTAAGCTTCATATATGTGTACCGTTAATTCTCGTCGGAAAAAAAAAATAATAATAAACAATCGAAAAAATATGATGATGATACAAAACTGTGGAGGTTGAAATGTTAAATTATAAAAATTATTGTCACATCACGATGAAAAAGGTAATTATGGAAATTATCATCAAATTATATTGATAATTGGTTATCATAATTCGTTTTGATATTCGTTAGAATTCCGGCTTATATAAATGAATCCGATTATATTATCGTAACAGTTTCTCACGCTAAATTAACATTTCAAAATATTCAAACGGTATTGAGCATACGCGAAAATTGACACATCCGGGCATCGCTGTTGAAAAAAACTACTAAAAACGTACACATTATCAAATAATGTGCTGCTGATATCACAGATAATTTATAGTATATATCCACACTGGTCACAGGATAATACACAGCAAATTATTTAAAATTAAGTACAGCTAATGACTTTTGTCGATCCACCCACCAGTTTTTTTAGTACTTTCACCTGAAATGTGATTAATTAATGTATTTCAACGAAAACTAATCAACACGATATCATTAAAAATTCGCGTTCGCGCATTATATAATATGTTGGGTTTTCATTTTTCTGTAGTTTACAATTTGTGTATTCGTTTTAGTATCGACAGAAACTAAAAGCAATATTAACTGCTCTTGTATTGATTTTTAATCAACGCTCGATTAAAGTTATTACAATTGCCTTGACGAATCGGTTTCACGCAATTAGGTGCATTGTGTTTTGATGATGTTTTTCGAATGAACATTGATGTTATTATTTAATGTATAACTCATTTACGATTGATTGATAAGGTAGGTAATTAACGACCTTTGTTCCCGAAGTGTTTCGAGAACCATACATATCCACGGCGGTAACATATGATTTCCTGTAGCAGTAATTATTGAAAACAAAGAGCTGAACCACGTTATAATTAACGTTATGAATTATTATATTTCTCACGAACTCATCTTTCTGAAGCACAGCTACACAATAGAATCCCGACGTTGTACATAACATAGTACTATGAACATTTTAGAGTTTATGAAACGATGAATGTATATGTTTTACCGTGATATGTGTGTGTGTGTGTGTGTATTATTGTGTATGTGTACACAATTCGACCAAAAAGTTGTTATTTTAATAAGCGATGTTTCTGATAAGGAATAGAGTTTAGTTGGTACTAAGGGGGTGGGTACTTTTTGAATTTCCGAATAATCGAGAAAAAATGAAAAAAAAAACTTCAGTCAAGATCAAATTTCGAACTTGTCTAATATATTATCGCGTACTATTATATTAAATCATTAGACCGTGCAGAGTACATATATTAGCATTTTACTATCGGAGTCTTCGATATTTATTAATAATATTTGTGTTGAGTTAATACACTTGAAATGTTCGTCAATAACATACTGAAATTTGGCTTTAATAATATGTCAACGATATTCAGAAGTATAAATTGAGCCACCTCCGACTTATTTCTCTCAGAGTCGTTATTTTTTTTTTTTCAAAAGAGCAATCGTACATATTTGGTTTTAAATTCTATAGATCAAGTCAGACATATCGTTTACCCGTCCCTGTACCTCACCATACCGTGGTGTATCAGCAATTTTTAACTTTCGACTTTCTCGCTTGTGAGCTTTTGACATAAAATGAGAACCGGATTTACGACGCTCTAAAGAAATAGCTGAATAAGCAACGATGAATGCGTTGTTGACTAGTGGACATGTTATATTAGGTAGAAGGATTCAAATGTGTACTGTTAATATACGACCGGGGTCACGAGCATATGTTTCCAAATAAAACTCCACTGAAACGCGTCAAGATTTCATGGGAAGTAAATTAAATGGAAAATTTTACTCTTATTATTTCAAATAAATTTGTAATATTTTTAGGGATGCATTGTATTATATTTAAAGGGTGACAAATAAACTCTTACGAGGTAATGCTTCAATAAACGATTTTTACGTTTCTCTCATTAAACACCGTCGAATATTTTAAATATTATACTTTTTGAATGTAAATAAAATCGTAGTTCAAAAAGATCTCGGATTGGAAAGAGCTTGAACGAGATACGATCATTCGTTTTTGTAGGATGTGTCTATTATTATTTTAAATTTGAAAAGTCAACGAAAACCTATGTATATAATAAATCATTAAAAGTATAATCGAAGTTCTATTGAATAAATGATTCTTCTGAAACATATTTTTAACGATTGGAACATTTTTTATATTTTTGTTGTACAATGGTATTGTATTGTATCATATCGATATGGTATAGTATAAATTAAAAATCTTACTGAAAATAAGACTACAAAAAATAATGAACTATATAACTTTTATTATAGAATTATGAAAAAAGTATTAACTACATCTTAAACTAATCCACATCGGTCACAGGATAATCTACAGCAAATTATTTATAATTAAGTACGGCTAATGACTTTTGTCGATCCTCCCAACGGTTTTTTAATACTTTTACCTGGAATGTGATTAATTAATGTATTTCAACGGAAACTAGTCAACACGATATCATTACAAATTCACGTTCGCGCATTCATGATATGTTGGGTTTTCATTTTTTTGTAGTTTACAATTTGTGTTTTCTTTTTAGAAATATAGACAGAAACTAAAAGCAATATTAACTGCTCTTATATTAATTTTTAATCAACGCCCAATTAAAGTTATTACAATTGCCTTGACGAATCGGTTTCACGCAATTAGGTGCATTGTGTTCTGATGATTTTTCGAATTAACAATGATGTTATTATTTAATGTATAACTCATTTATGACTGATTGATAAGGTAGGTAATTAACGACCTTTGTTCCAGAAGTGTTTCGAGATCCGTACATATCCAAGGCGTTAACATATGATTTTCTGTAGCAATAATAATTGAAAACAAAGAGCTGAACCACGTTATAATTAACGTTATGAATTATTATATTTCTCACGAACTCATCTTTCTGAAGCACAGCTACACAATAGAATCCCGACGTTGTACATAACATAGTACTATGAACATTTTAGAGTTTATGAAACAATGAATGCATAGGTTTTACCGTGATGTGTGTGTGTGTATTGTTGTGTATGTGATTTTTTTGTATATGTGTACACAATATCGACCAAAAAGTTGCTATTTTAACAAGTGATATATCTGATAGGGAAGAGAGTTTAGTTGGTACAATGGGGGTGGTTAAAATATTAAATATTAAAAGTATAGTCGAAGTTCTATTGAATAAATGTTTCTTCTGAAACATATTGTTAACGATTGGAACATTTTTTTTATTATTATTGTACAATGGTATTGTATTGTATCATATCGTTATGATATGGTATAAATTAAAAACTCATACTGAAAATAAGATTTCAAAAAATAATAAACTATTTAATTTTTATTATAATTATGAAAAAAGTATTAACGACATCTTAAACTGACTTTTATGTAGCATTACATTTAAATATACTAAAGTCATTGATAAATTAGATATTTATGTTAAATGTTAAAAAAGTTACAATTAATTTTAACATTGCATTATGCACTATTAATACTATAAAATAATTTATTTTTTAATTTATTAATAACTATTTTAAAATTTTTTTACACTTATAGTAAATGAGTTGAAGCATTCCATAACCAGTGCAAGTGCGTGGTATTTTAAAGTTTATACGGAGTTTCGACGGTCTTATTATTTTAATTTTAAAATGTTTAATGTTCACATTAAAGTTTAACGTACGAACGTAATGTAGCGCAGCGGATCGCCTGTGTTTCAAAGCCAAAGTAGGGTAAATTCATTTCGTGATGAGCTAGACAATCGAATCAAAGGAATGTTAATGCAATATCAATATATTATACCGTGCCGTTCACTTTGTACATTGATTGATTAAATATATCGAGAACAATCGATATCTCGGTCTTTAATTATTATTAGTTCGATATCATACCATAAGAAAATTATTAACATATGGTTATTCAAGACCGAACATCTAGACGAACAAATAAGTACATACATTTCGCTTGTCGAGATAAATAAACTTGAACACCGGGAGAAAAATTAGCTATAATACAAAAAGTAAAAAATAAATATCATAAGAAGATTACGTAGTGAATACTTTGGTATACTATAATGTAGTACTTTATCGCAATCAGTTATTCGAGTTTGTAGATCAAATATCACTGAAACGAAAAGGTTAAATTTTGTTTTTTAAAAAAAATCTATCGGTTTTAAACCCAAACGGTTATTTTAAAAATACTTTTAAGTTTCCAACAGACGTAGATATTTGTCACAATAACGATTAAAATAATATCTTTCATTATTACCACCGTAATTCGCTTTAGTCACGAATATTATGCAATGATGTGCATCATTCGATTATAAAAGACGACACAAATATTTTATAATAATGTATACTATTTGTATGTATGTGATTTTAAACTATTTTAAATAAATAAATAACGGTTCCTTCGATACCCGCACGGACAACACAGATCGAACAATAAAGTCTAATCTTCAAAGGACCGCCCAAGATCCATGCCGACATACGTCCCTATATAACAGGGTCACACATTACCCTTCTCGGAGCTCTTGATCTTAGGTTGTCAGTATAAGCGCACGATCGTAAAATCAACGAAGCAACTCTTTTTTTTGGTCGTCTGTGCATGCGCAACAATTATAAGATTAATGATAGAGTTTATAGAGTTTATACGTGCGATTTATTTTGACTTGTGATTTTAATCCGTTCGGCTTGCGTTCTTCGTACGAGTGTTGAAAACTATCCGGTTCCAGTGTAGTTAAATTCTGCATTTGTCTTTTTTTTCAACCTCGCATCGATATCTGAAGGTCTACGGTAAAACAAGTAAGTGCTGCTTTATTTAGCTTGGCAGACTATAATTGCACTGATCGGCTCTCGAACATTCACAACCCTGAGTGCCTTCCCTTAAACAAGAAGGAAGGTAACAACCCTTTAATACATTCATATCTCACCACCATTTATACATACTACTACCACCTTCCTGATCCCTTTATTTTATTTTTGTATTTTAAACTGTAATCTACAAACTTGTAATAGCATGCAATATGCTGAAACATTTAATTATAATAAATAAAAAAAAAAAAAATTTTGTA